GATCATCTGGCGCTGTGAGTTAGCTAAGTTGGGCGCTATATGGTGACTGGTGCAGGTCAGACTGAACGAGAACGGTGGCTTCGTTACAGGACTGTAGAACTGCAAGTGGCGCAACACTCGCGACGGCAAATAACGAGAGCGGCCAGGCTGCCAAGCGCTAGAACATCTTCAGCCTTCCTGCGTATAGAGACATGGAGACATTTATATCGACGAACGTTTCATCTCTTTATGGCATCTACAACGTTTGGCCCCGCTAACGTCGGGTTTCAAGCGGGTACTATAAATGGTCCCGTCTACACTACATTCTATGCTTCACCTGGTAAGTTGCGGGACGATTGGAGCTCGACACCCGATCCAACGCTAACCGGCGGGCCTCCGCCTAGAGCGACGCGAAACTCCACCACAGCCATCCATCGTGATACCTTTCGCACGAGACGCAGATTTTGTCGACAGAGGCACACTGCTCGACGAGCTCTGTGAGCGATGCGCGCAGCCAGACGCGAGGCAGGCGATTGTTGGCCTAGGCGGGGTGGGGTGAGCAGCATGAGCGCTTCCTGCACACGACCAAACATAGCACACTGACGGCCAAGCAGCAAGTCGCAACTAGCGATCGAGCACGCCTACCGCACGCGCGAGCAATCGCCAGGGACGTGGGTACTGTGGGCGCACGCCAGCAACGCTGTCCGGCTCGAGCAAAGCTTCCGCGAAATCGCAGACCGCGTCAAGATAGCCGGGCGACAGGATCCGCAAGTCAACATCTTCAAGCTGGTGCACGACCGGCTGTGCGACAGCAAGCAGCCATGGCTGCTCGTGCTAGACAACGTGGACGATGCCAGCTTTCTACTCGAGGCCCCACCTGCCAGCTCCAAGACCGCAGCTAGACCGCTGCGCGAGTACCTCCCCTACTGTGAGCACGGCTCGATCCTCATTACAACGCGAAACAAAGAAGCGGCGCTGCAGCTGGTGGAGCAGCGCAGCATCATCACACTTGATCCAATGGACGCGGCGCAGTCGCTGACGCTGCTTGCAAGGAAGCTGGGAGCGCAAGCCGACAAGAGCGATGGTGCTGAGCTCGCGGAGCTGACGGAGCTAGCTGCAGCGCTTGAGTACATGCCGCTCGCCATCACCCAGGCTGCTGCGTACATCTCGCAGAGAGCGCCACTGTGCTCGGTGGCACAGTACCTTGACCAGTTCAAGAAGAGCGAGCGCAGGCGGGCGAGCCTTCTCAACCGTGACGGAGGCCAGCTTCGGCGAGACCATGAGGCGAAGAACTCGATCATCACGACGTGGCAGATCTCCTTCGAGCACATACAGCAGACGCGGCCATCAGCTGCAGACCTGCTATCGCTGATGAGCTTCTTCGACCGCCAGGGAATTCCCAGGAATGTGCTGCAGACGCAAGCTACACATGAAGATGGCGAAGCCAATCAAAAGGTTGATGAGGCCGAGGCTGAGGCTGATCGTAATGAGGAAGACGATAGAATGCAGTCTGAATGCCAGGTCGTGGACATTGAGGAATATTTTGACGACCACTCCAAAAACGGACCTGAAACTATCCCCTCACAAAACTCATCGGATGACTTTGCAGACGACGATTCTGAGGACGATGATTCTGAGGACGACGACTCGAGAGACGATACTTTCTATGACGACATTTCAGCGCTGCGCAGCTTCTGCTTCATCTCCGTGAACAACGACGGCATGACCTTTGAGATGCACGCCCTTGTGCAGCTATCAATGCGTACCTGGCTTGCGGCGAACGGAAAGCTAGAGCAGTGGAAGCAGCACTTTATCAATAGCCTTTGCGAAGCGTTCCCGACAGGAAAGTATGAGAATTGGGCAGCCTGTCAAGCGCTGTTCGCACACGCTAAGGCGGCAGCTGGCCAGAAGCCAGAAGCAACATCCTCGCTAATAGAGTGGGCTACGCTACTATATCGTGCAGCATGGTATGCAGAGAGCAAAGGAAGCGCAGCAGAAGCAGAAACCCTAGCAATACAGTCAATGAAGGTACGAAAGACGGTCTTAGGGCGAGAGCATGAGGACACGGTATGGAGCATTGCAATGGTGGCAGATGCTTACTCACTTAGTGGACAATGGGACGCGGCTGGAAAGCTGAGGGCGCAAGTGATGGAGACTCGCAAGAAGAAACTGGGAGCGGACCATC